CCTTGAAGGATGAGGAAGATTGAGTGTAGTGCTTTGAGAGGAGGTGGAAGGGTGTTCCAAGTGTGTGCAGGGAGGGGTAGGTGGGGTTTTGAAGAACTTAATGTGGTAAGAGACAGTGGAAAATGGACAAATGTGTGAGCAAAAACTTTGAAACTTAAGGATGATGATCAATGCAATGACCCAACAATGATTCCAGAGGATCATGAAGCATGTTACCCACCTCATGACACAAAGCTGATGGACTTAAAATTAACAAGGAAACACACATTTTGGGGCATGGCCAATGGGAGAATGTGTTTTACTTGACTGTGCACAGAGTCATTAGAAGGGTTTTCTTGTTCAATTGAGGCAGTGGCTGGTAGAGCAGTGAACAGAGCATTGGGCCTGGAGTCAGAAAGACTCATCTTTCTGAGTTCAAATCTGGCTTCAGATGCTTTATTAGCTGTGTGACCCTGGATAAGTCTGTTTGCTTTAGTTTCCTAAATGGCAAAATTGGAGATAATAATAGTACTTACCTTGCAGGAGTGGATCAAATGAAATAATAAAGCGCTTAGCATAGTGCCTGGCATATAGTAGGTGCTACATAAATGCTTATTCTATTCCATTCCAATACGGAAATAGGTGGGAGAAAAAAATGCTTAATTGAATAAAATTTATGTGTATATACATATATATACACACGTGTATATATGCACATACATACATATACACACATATGTAGATATAGATACATGCCCCCCCATGTTTCTTAAGAAGACCCAGAAGGAACGTGGCCAGAAGACCCTGGGACTCAGTCCCCTTAAGACCTCAAGCAAATCTCTTCCCAGGTCTTGGCCTCAGTTTTCTCTTCAGGAAAGTGGGGATAGTGCCATTTACCCCACCAATCTCATGAGTCAGTTTTGATAAGCCCCAAAGGAAATAAGTATGCAAAGTGCTTTGTAAATGTCAGGGAATCCTTACTACTAGTAGGGAAGAAAGAGGTTCTCCATATGTTTTAAAAAAATTATTTTCACATGCAACTGGGAAATAAGAAATACAGGAAATGGGGTACAGAAGTCTATCCTGCCCTACAGGAAAACAGAAGGGGAAGGGGATAAGAGACAGGGCAGACTAGGGGAAGGGATATTCAGAGTGCATGCATCTTGGGGTGGGGAGAGGGGCGAGATGGGATGAAAATTTGGAACTCAAAATCTTATGGAAGTAAACATTGAAAACTAAAAATAAATAAATTTATATTAAAAAAAAGAGGTTCTCAATGTTCTTGTGTGTCACCCCTGACAGTCTGGGGAAGACCTTCTTCTTAGAATATTGCTGTTAAATGAAGAAAATGCGCGGGACTTCAGTAAGGAAACCGATCATTACCAAGACACATTTTTCAAAACATTAAAAAAACAAGTTCATAGAGCAGCTAGATGGTGCAGTGGATAGAGCACCGGCCCTGGAGTCAGGAGGACCTGAGTTCAAATCCTGCCTCAGACACATGATACTCACTAGCTGTGTGACCCTGGGCAAGTCACTTAATCCCAATTGCCTCACCAAAAACAAACAAACAAACAAAAAGCCCAAGTTCATAGACCCCAGGTTAAGAGAAACTTAGATCAAAAGGTGGGGGCAGGGAGGGAAAGTTGGCATTTTGGGCCCAAGGAGTATCTTCTGTTATCACCACATATGAATGGAGAGGTATTTTTTCAGGGTGCTTTGGTGGAAAATGGCAGCACCTGCATCTTTAGCAAATGGGGGAGGGGAGAGTGATGGCCCAGCTCTACGATGTAGAGATCTCTTAGAAACTCACAATACAAGAAACACTTATAAAGTGCCTACTGTGTGCAGAACCCTAGAAGCTGGCAGAGATGAGTTTAGATCATAGGATCAAGTGCTGGAAGGATCCTCAATTCCAACTCCATCATTTTCCAGAAGAGGAGAATGAGGTCTAGAGAAATTAAGCGATATGTCCAATGTGTCATACGTAAGACTCAAACCCAGGTCCTCTGACTTGAGACTCAGTGCTCTTTCTCTGTTACTATTCCCTACCACCTTGTTGGTGGAAAAAGAACTTAGCATTTTGGCATAACAGCAACAGCAAAGTGCTTTGTTTTTAGGTAGAATGGAGTTTAGGCCAAATACGGGGAAGTAATATTTCCCACAATAGGGAAGAAACTCACTAGGAGAGGAGAGGAATGGTGGATGGGAGAGGGAGAAGAATAAGAAGAAAAACATGTCAAGCTTGGTTGAAAAAGGTAGTTGCAGTCTAGTGGAAAGACCTCTGGACCTGTAATCAGCACTCCTTCATCCTAATTCTGGTTCTGCTGATCACCTAGTAGTGAGTTTTATTTGGGCAAGGTATTCACCCTCTTGGTGCCTCAGTTTTCCTCTTCTGTAAAATGGTAACAAAAATCCTTAAAACAGTTGGGATTTTTTTTAAAAAAGCACTTTGTAAATTTTCACATAACTATGTACATGTGAGTTATTATTCATGAGGGGCCAGATTCCACCTCCAAGGCTGGTATGTGACTTGTGGTGGCATCATTTTTATGTTCTGGGGTAGTTCCCTCCCCCTCTCTTCGTCGGACAAGTCCCATCTTTGGGATGATAACAAATGGGTCATGTTACCCTTCTCACTAAGGCCTTTGTTCATATCGTTGCAAGCCTTTTGCAAGCAGCTTTTCACATATCTTCACAGACCTGTTTCCCCACCCCCTCCCCCATCACCACTTCTGGGCAAGGATTATTAGCCCCATCTGAAAGATGAGGAGACTAAAGGCTCAGAGAGGGAAGAAATTCGCCCAAGGTGACACAGCTAGAGAGGCAGAACCAGGATAAGAAGTCAGGTCTCCTGTTTACAAGTCCAAAGCTTCACCACTATTCTCTGCTGCCTGTGTTTCCAAGAGACATGTTTCTGGGCCAGACAGACAGAGACAGATGTCCAACACTAAGACAACCCAGGGAGAGAGAAGCTGACAGGGACCTTGAGCTCCAGGCCTGGGTAGCCCCACCCTTGCCTAGATCCTGGCTTATGGCCTTGATGGGTGACCTTGGCCCCCCAGCATGTGCAGCATGGAAGAGAGGGGAGGGAAAGAGGGCTGCAGCCAGCCTGAGGCTCCCGGGGGATTGCTGTTGGTGCTGTCCTTGGCCCAGGCTCTGCTTTTCCTTAGCACCATGAATTGTGCCATTGGCTGCTTCATCCCTCCCTCCACAGCCGCACAGCTGCAGGATTTGGCTGAGGTGACCCACCTTAGGGGAGGGGGTGTGGGGATGCCTGTTTGCCCTTCCCTTCCCCCTAAGCTACCAGTAGCCAAACAGCAACAACAGAGAGAGGAGGGGAAATACAGCTAAATGGGGGCTTCCTTTTCCTAGTCCACCAAAAAGAAAAGAAAAGAAAAGAAAAAAAGTCCACATTGCTTGTGAAATGAGGGGGATTATATACTAAGAAGTCTCTAAGGTCCCTTCCAGTTCTGACATTCTAAGGTCCCTTTCAGCCTAAACATTCTGTGTTCTATGTTCTAAAGTCCCCTCCAGGCCTGTCATGATACCATTCCAGGGTCTTCCTCCCAAGGCTCTCCTAGGACAAGCCTCCATGAAGGTATGCAGAGGCCCCTTAAACTCCTAGCCTCTAAACTACTCCCTGAAGAGGGATGGATCAGGCAGAAGGGGCTGCCTTATTCTTATGGCCCAAATAATTAGGTTCTTCCTCCAGGCTTCTTCTAGCTACCTTCCTGAGTCTGGCTGGCAGCAGCAGTACCCCCCACCCCCCTTTTTCCGCTCCAACCTCCTCCTTTTCTTTGATCTTCTCTACACTGGGGAATTGGGTAGAGAGTCAGAATCAGACCCTGACTACAACATTCCTCTCCCTTACCCCCCCTCCCCACCCCCCAACATACCAGAAGAAGGGAAAATAAAGGGCAAACCTCATATATATAATCTGCTTGTCCCCTCCTCCCACAACATATCAGATACTCTCACAATCGACATCTTCAGAAGATAGCCAAATCACACACAAGTATTAAGTGCCTACTCTGTGCAGAGTATATTTATCCAGATAAATAGCAAACCTTCCCTCTGGGACAGAAAGCCCTGGGTTCAGACCTCAGTGATCTGAACTCCTGTCTATAGATGCCAGTCCCCTATGTCCCTGACCTCAGTCGCACACTTAGGTAGTGGTGGAGAATTAGGGAGAAAGTTAGGCACTAGTTTCTGCTTGAAGATCCAACCTGAAGGACCAAATCTGCCTATCCTCCATGCACCCAGACCCATATATCTGAAACAAAGCAGTACAGCCATAAATCAACCCATCAACAAATGTTTACTGGTGGTGCTTATGGTGTGAAAGGTAAGGAGGAGGGGGAAAATTCAAAAATGAAATAGACCAATCACTATGGTATGGGCAGAAGAGCCTCCTCACCCCCACCCCAACCCCTTCCTTCCTTCTTTCAGCCCAAGTCCTGGTAGCAGCTCCTAATTCCAGAGACCCCAGACCACTCAGCCTCAATGGAAATTCCAAGAGTATCACTGGCTCACTGGGCTCCTCGACCCTAAACAAAGGTAAATAAACTGCAGCCCCCCTCCAATTTTCTTCAGTCCCTTAACACTGGAAAAGACAAGAAAGGACTAGGAATGACCTCCCCCTTTCTCTCAGTCCTGGTTGATGTCCAGGAAACCCGATCAGAGGCACAGGACTGTAATGGAGAGAACATCAGAAAACCGGGGTTCGAGTCTCAGCTCTCCTAAACAGCTGTGTGACCCAGGACAAGTCATATCCCTTCTATCTAGGCTTTAGTTTTGTTTCTTCTGCTTGATGCTCTCCCCCCCCCGACCTCGCACCCCACCATAGATAGAATAAACAGATGCTTTCTACAATTCCTTTCCTAGCGCTGGGACCGTTTGAACCCACAAAACCAGAGGAGAAGCCATCTCCCCAAGCCCAAAGCAGTCTTCTTCCCGATCCCCAGCCTCACTAGCGTCCACCTGGGCCATCCTCCCACTACCTCCCACCCCGGTCATACCGGGTCTGGGGGCTCCGAGGAACTGGGACCGGGGCACCGCTGGGTCGTGTGTCGCGCCCCGAGAGGTGCTGGACCCCTTCGTAGCGCCACCTCTTGGGGGCCCAGAGCAGGTAGCTCTGCTACCCAAGCGAGCGAGGGTCCAGTCCGGTCCTGGGGGGTGTCGGGAGGCCAAGTGAGCACCGGCGGCGCTCGGCCCCCTCTAACTCTGAGGGGGCGGGCTCGAAGGCCCTCCCACTGACACCCCCACGCACACAGGGGGCGGTGGCTCTCCCCACTCCCTACTTCCACCCTATGCCCCGCTCCACCCCCCACGGGCCACCCCGAGTTCGTAGCAGGCAACAACTAAGTTGTCCCAACCCCTCCACCTCCCACGTGCAGCCGCCCCCCCAACCTCACGTGACGGAGCCCCCCGGGCTCCAGGGACCAATCAGAGCCTGGAAGCTGCAGCGCCCTCGAGTCGGGGGTGGGGTGGGGGGTGGAAACGTTTTATTCCCCCCCCCAAAATATTACCCCACAATCAGGCGATAGATTCTTCCTTTGTCCCTTTGTCTCTCAGCCTGGGGGCGCCAGGGGGGGCTACAAGTCAGGCCTGGACACCTTGAGCCCAGAGCCTCGGGAGTCAGAAGGAGGGGCAACCAGGGGAAGGGAAAAAGACAGTGGGGGGGGGATGAGAAGGGTGGAGAGGTGGATAGTCGCTCCCCACCCAATTCAGTGCCAGCCTTGGCTGCGCTGCTTGGAGATCTGTGATCCCTCTATCGCACGCCACCTGCCCCTGCGGCTCCAGGGGCTGCCAGCCTCCTCTGAGTACCCGGGGACTCTACCCGTACCCCCTCCCCCCAGCTCACCCCAATCTCTTTCGCTGCTATAGCTCCAACCACCGGGAGTGGGGGGGCGGGGGCTGGACGTCGGGGGCGGGGGCCTAGATTTGCAGAAGCCCGTCCCCCCCCAGCCTCTCCTCCGCTATAGCGCCTGGAGCGTCTGGCCCCCGCCCCGCGCTTACCGGGTCCCGTGCGGGGCGCTTACCTCGGCTGCCCGCGGTCCCCCGAGAGCGTCTGCGCTCGGCTCCCCGCGCCGTGCCCTGCGCTGCGCTCGGCGCGCACCTGTCCCTGCCCGCGCTGTGGCGGCGGCTCAGCCGGGCATCCTGCGAGGGGGGGGGGAAGGAGAGGATTCGGGGGTCGGCTCCCCCCCTCCCCCCCGCACAGCCGCCGCCGCAGCAGCTGTGCGCGCCCAGGCAGCGGCACCTTGTTCGGTGCGCTGGCCGGTCAGGCTAGCTCCAAGCGGCAGCTGCACCGGGTCTGGGGCGGCGGGGGCTGGGGCTGCGGGGAGGGGGGGGGGGGCCGCGGTCCTGTCGGGTTCTGTCCCCTCCCCTCCAGCCCCCTCAAGCCCCTTCAGGCCCTGGGCGCTCCCTGAGGGCCCCTCCTGGGGCAGCTCCAGGGCTGGGTACGCGCACCTCCCGCATCTCTTGCACCCGCCGCGGCTGCGGCTGGAGCTCAGGCTCCCCCTCTCTTCCCCTCCTTTCCCCTCCCCAGCCCGGCCCCGGCCTCAGCCTCAGCTTTAGCCTCAGCCTCTGCCTCAGCCTCAGCCTAGTCCCTGGCGCCACGAAAAACCCGGCCCGGATCCTGTCCCCGGATCAGCCCGCCCCATGGAGGGGGGGGGCGCGCGACGTGGGGGCCACCCCCCCTTTTCCCACGCACCGCAGCTTCCGGAGTGACGGTCCCCTTCAGGTCTCTAAGAGAATGAATCTGTCCATCCCCACCCCCATTTGGGCAGAACACAGGGTAGGCGGAGGGTGTTGGTCCTCCTGGGACAGTGAACCCAGGAATCCTGGTTTCCAGGGCCTCAGAAAGGAGACTGGAAGCCCCACTCTAACCAGAAGCCCTATCAGACAAGGAATGCGCCTTTGGACCAGCGCTAGATATAAATGGGTCAACCTGTGTACTCCCCACCCAGGGGAAGATGGGGAGAGGGAGGAGGGATACAGAGAAAGAGATGGCTGTCGGTTCAGATACAGCCCAGAGAGACTGGAATTGGTGTTGGGGAAGATCAGACTTGTGAATTTCAGCAGCCACATTAGGCTGCATCCTCAGCGTCCCAGCCTATGTATAACATGGTATAAGTGTGTGTGTATAATTTTCTATATGTGTGTGCATATACATATATACATTATATATACCATCTACTTCAGCATATGGGCACAGATACACACATCCATATGTATGCCAGTTTACCTGCATATATATATGTATATATATATATGTATATACATATTACATGTATATATATATATTACATGTACAAGTGGGCATATGTGTGTACTTGTGAGTATGCATCTGGCATAGGCACTAGGGTATGCAGACTGTGTATTGTTGTAAATAGGCACCCATGCATGCAAACCTACACTTGGTACTCTATGTGTATAGGTGCACGTGTGTGCACCTGTGCATTGTGCTTGTGTGTTTACACACACGTATATACCCACACACATATATACATACATACACACATGCACACACACATGCACACATACATGAAACTGCATCTTCTCCAGGAACAACCCTAGCCCAGATGACCCGTTATTATTAATAAGTATCTGATTTAGATTCAGCAGAACTTCCTATCCTTGGGAGCAGAAGAATTCTTTCAGTTCCACCCCCGCCCTGAGCTTTGATTTAGCCTCTTCTGGGCCCAGAAGCAGAATCTAGCCCATTTAGGCCTCCTCATTCCCACCCCTAGCTGCCCTGAGAGGCCTTTGGGCCTGGTTAGACCATTAGAGTGTTCCCTGCCAGACAATGATAGACAGAACCATTCTGTATAAATAAAACCCTCTTTCCCATTCTTGCAACCTGGTGATGACAGCCGGAGCCAGTGGGCTTATACAGACCCATTGGATATGGATGGATTATTCTTTAAGGGGGAGTCCCAAAGGGCTGGCTCTCTGGTCACAGAGTTTAGGAGGCCATTTGCACCTGCTCCCCCAGAGGCTTGGAGGCCCGTGGAAGGAGAAAATGGCAGATCTATCCCCAGCAAGCCCAGTGGGAGAAGGGGCCAAGAGTGGGGGTGGGGTGGGATGGGGATCTAGGGCTCCCTTTGATCATCAGGCATAACTTCAGAGAACCACAGAATCGAGGACTTAGCATTGCCGATTCTAAGACTCGTCAATTCTTGGAATCATAGTGTGATAGCTGAATGTCAGAGCTGGAAGGGACTGTTGAGGCAATTAGTCTCATTTCCCACCCAGCACAGAAATCCTCACGACAGTGTCCCGGAGCCAGTCTCTGCTTATTTCCACTGTGTGCCAGTTTGGAGTATTAGGAAAAACTAATAATGCCCAGTTAATGTTTGCTCAGAGCCTAATGAAGAGTCCAAACTGGCAGAACTGGAGGAATTCAGGGGGAGATGGAGGGCAGTGTCGCCTGCTCCCCTTTCTGTCCCCATCAAACTTGGTTGTCCCTTTCACTTTCCATTTCTTTCCTTTTTCTGCACAATAGTCAAGCCCTGGAGTCTTGGGGCAATGCTCTCCATCCAGGGCAACCCCTCCCCCCAGTAGGTGGCCAAAGGGCCAGGTAAAGGGCTGCAAGGGCCTACTCTGTCCAGCAGGAGGAGCTCTGGCTTGTTTTGGGGGGGGGATCCTACAGGGGTGCAGTGCAGTCATTGTGTTTAGTTTCTTGATCCTGGTGGGTGAGTATGGGGCAGGCACTAACTTTGATGCTACTGTTCTGTGGGGGCTACAGGCCTCTAACAGCAGGGCTTCTCTGGATTAGAAAGGCCGGCAGCTCCCTGCACCTGAGTAGCATCCTCAGCCCCTCTGCTGACAGACAGAAAGTCTGCCTGGTGGTGACCACATTCTTCTGATGGCCAGGCCTTCCTGTCTGGCTCTAAAGGCAAATCAACTTGAACCACAGCACCAGCTGCGTTGAGAGGCCTGCCCTGCCCCCTTCACCCTTGTCCCAGGAGTACGTTTTTCATTCCCCCTATGTCCTGCCTTCCCTTTCTCTACCAAGTGCTGCCAAAGCACCAGTCATATTGTTAACAGAAGAACATTTTTCCTGTCATACATCAGTATCAGGGCCCCTAGAAGTCTTTTCTGTTCTGAGGATTTCCAAGCACTGGGAAGAAAACCTTTTGTTGTCTTAGGCCTCCCTGTCTCTTTGGGGGTTATAATCATGGAACACAGAACACTGCAGCTGGAAGAACCTGGAACTTGGAATTGCCAAGGTGAGAAGGGGCCTCAGAGATGATTAGGCCAGTTCCCTCATTTTACACATGGGAAAACTGAGGCCTAGAGAATGAATATGACTTATTCGAAATCACAAAGGAAGGCTGTGTCAGAGACAGGCCTAATTCAGGTCTCCCGACTCAGTCTAAGGTTTTATCTGCCATAACACAATTTCTCAAGGCCTACCAACACTGATTCATTCTCTCCTGCTTGTGAAAGGCCCAAACTCAGAGGAGGTCATTTTTATGGCTAAGGCAGTTGTGGGCAGAGGGTAAAAGGGAGAGCAGAGCTAGGTGCCCAGCTTAGAGTACCTCCCTGCCTGTTAGATTGGCCTGGTAATCATGTGGCTTCTCCACATGAGGGAGAGGAGGATTATATAATGTACTGATAACTAATATGTGGAATAGCATGGACAACAATAAAACTAATAACTAATACAAAGAATAAATAGCATGGACAAGAAAAAGGTGGAAGGATGTCTCTTCCATCTTACTTTCCCCCCCTCCCCAACCATGCATTAACCCCCCTTTCACTCACCCAGAGCAGAGGTCACTGTCCTGGCACATACCACCCTTCTATTATACACATCCAAGGAAGATTTCAGCTCCAATTACTCCTCTATCCCTTCCTCCAGAGCCACTGGGCTGGAAGGAGATGAGAGGTCTTGTTCATTTCTGCTGGGGCAAGGAAGCTGTCCTCTCTTTAGGCTGGGTACACAAGAGTGGAAAGTCTGATATATGAACTGCTTTTCCCTCTCTGGGACTTTCCATCTGAAGGGGTTGGACTAGGTTCCTTCCAGCTGACATTCTATAATCTCTGTTCTAAAGGATCCTTCCAGCTCTGACATGCCAAGTTCTCTGTTTTAAGGGCCCTCCCAGCTCTAGACAGTCTGTGCTTCTATGACTTCCTCTCTCCTAGGGAGCAGTCAGGAAAGCTGGGGAGGAGGTTGCAACTGGGTCTTAAAACAATAGCCCTCCTCCCCAATCAGGCTAGGAAGTGGAGGCAAGGGTGCCTGCTGCCCCCTTCCTTTTGTCTTCTCCAGACAAGCATCTACCACTGGCTCTGAATGGGTCTTTCATGGCCCAGAGTCGAGGTCACCAGAGGGTCCCCTCATGGGAAGATCCCATCGATGACCCCCTTCCCCTCTCCCCGGAACACAAGGTTAGAAGTTTGGTCAATGGCCTTTTTTGACTATTGCTGGAGAGGAGGGAGGAAGGGAGTGAGGAGGAAGGTGGGGAGGGGTAAGGAAACAGCAGTTGCTCTGGGCTTGGAGGTAGAAGATGACCCAGTGAGACCCAGTGGGGAGCAATGACTTCCTTGCCAAGGTGAGTAGAAAGCAAAGTTAGTAAGTCTTGACTTGCACTCTGACCTCAGGATTCAGAATGATTATGCCCATTCTAGTCTTTTCCTCCTAATCAAGACCCTTAGACTGACTCTTGGCTTCTAGTCACAGTTAGACTACTGACTTTCTGTGTGGTCTTTGGCCAAATCATCTTCTCTCTCTAGATATCAATTGTCTCTATCTGTGAAATGGCTTTGTGGCCAGCCCTTCTAGCTGGAACACCCAGCTTTCTCTTGAAGCAGGGATGGGGGGACCATTCACTGCCCCAATTAAGAATTCAGCTTTTGGGGCAGCTAGGTGGCACAGTGGATAGAGCACTGGACCTGAGTTCAAATGCAGCCTCAGACCAAACACTTGACACTTACTAGCTGTGTGACCCTGTGCAAGTCACTTAACCCCAATTACCTTTAGAAAAGAATATAGCTTTTATGGGCAGCTAGGTGGTGCAGTGGATAGAGCACTGGCTTTGGAGTCAGGAAGATCTGAGTTCAAATCTGGCCTCAGACACATAATACTCACTAGCTATGTGACCCTGGGTAAGTCACTTAACCTCTTTGCCTAGACAAAAAACAAAGCAAGAATTTAGCTTTTTTTTGCTTTTCAAATAGACATCCAGGCAGCCTGGAAAAAGGGAGGGAATATCTAACCTAGAAGTGGGGGGTGATCAGTGCAGACCCTTTCTGGGAAGAGAAGGGAGACTATACTTTATTTGGGAAGAAAGTACTTTTTGGAGACCAAAGAATTTATGTATCCTAGGCTCTTAGATCCAAAAACTTGCTGCGTGATCCTGAGCAAAAAAAATGAAAGTGCTCTTCTGCACCTCCCAAAGGGCTGTTTGAAGGGGAGTTCAATTTAATTTGAAATCCAGACCTCCCACTTCTAGGAGTTCTGACTCCTGGGGACAACCTTCTCCCCAAATACCCTTGTCTGACCCCAGGAAGAATCCCAGTGGTGGGGAGGGAAATCATGACT